TCTTCTGGGGCCCATGTTCAGAAATTTGGCAAGAAATCTGTGGTATCCAGACTAGAATGATATATGGTCTGTTTAGCTGTATGCTCTTGTGCTGCCTTAGCTTTAAGATTTACTTAGCATCATCCCCATCCCGCTTATCTCCAAAGGACTTTATAGAAGAGAGATGGACTTTGAACAGACAAGCCAACCCCTTCTCATCTCAGTAAAGTCCTTCTGCTGCTTATCCTAGGAGTTGTTCTCTCCACAAGTATTCAAGTGTGATTTCTTTTTATTATGGAAAAGCAGACTTGCAGGCACCATTTTAGGTAAGGTCTTGCAGATGGCTGTGCAATGACCCTTTCTCGAAGTGCTCTCAACATTAAATGCAATGTTTTGGTGTTTCTGTTGTGGCGGTGGCACGCAACCAACCCAGGGCCAGTTTGTGACCCCAGAACTTCCTCCTTTTCCCTTATTAACAGTTGGTGAGATCATAAATTTAGCCTTTGGCACAGTATTGGCTGTCTGCTTGATTTCACTCCGCTTGTTTCTCAAGTCCTTAACCTCTTGCACGACTTTACCCTCCTTTTTTGGTGACACTTTAACACTGTGTTAAAGTGTCACTGGCTTATTTCATTAGTGCTGTCCTACTTGTGCCTGGGTGCAGATGAAAATGCTAAATGAAATCAACCCTGAGGTTAACCTTTGGAAAACTCCCTCCAAGGGAAGATTCTTCCTCAACCCTAAAAGCAATCCAACACTGAGACCTCGAGCTCCCCGAAGTGGCATCCTTAGTGACCTGTGAAAAATTCACAAATGGAAAACTATCTCTCATGGCATGCCAAGGTGATTAGAGGAGGCCAATAACTCATTAAGGGCTTTTGGCAAGATGAAGCCAACCAATAAGCTTTCTTCAGAAAAAAAACATATTACATTGCTGTTGGTAAAAACGATCAAGGGCTGCTGCTGTTGTGGGATTTTTTTTCTCCAGTCCTCCTAAAGCTTGGCTTGGAAGCCCCACAGTATTCTCCTTGGCCAACCCAAGCCCATGGATCTCTTTTTTGGACTAACTGGGAAGACACTAATCAGTTCTGGCTTTGCTGTGGGACTACAAACTCCAGGCTAGACATGACAAAGCTAAACAAGGCTCCCAAAGGGCCAGTGCTCTGCTGATGCAAATAATGACCCTGCTGACTTGAAGAGACAGAATAACAGTAAGGAATTTCATCCAGGCAAAATACACATGGACACCACCAACAGTCTCCTGAGCCCTGTCTTAACACTGCTCAGATGTGGCAACACACCTGAGAGCTTTTCCCAGGAGGTCTGATTTGCTGGAGAGGATCACCTTGGTTGCACCAGTGTTTTTTTTTCATTTTCCTGCAGAATTTCAGCGCCAGCACATACTTGTCTGTGATGTAATTTTTTTCCATTAATAAATCTGCAGACCCTGATGGATACCACTGCTGTTATGTTTGCAAAATATCGCAACGCTAATGGAGTCCTGCTCATCTCATGTATCCTGACAATCTCAAATATTGGCCTCCTCAGTGTGGATTTTCCAAGGTCTTTAAAGCGTTCCACTCTCCTTGGACTAATGGACATCTTGTTAAAGCTGTCAGGCTTCGCTTCTGGTTTGGCAGATGCCATGACCTTACAGTGGAGTGGAGAGGTGCCCTTGTGTTTGCTTTTAACACCCTCGCTCAGCCACTGGATTCCCCTATCCCAGGGCTTGCCTCTAATAGAAATATAATCACATTTTCCTTCCCAGGACACAAAACCATCAATTTTATTACATAAAAGAGGTCCATCAAGTACACCACCACCAGTGTGAACAGCTGATTGCTTGTTCTGATCCTCAACAGTGGGGTTTTACAAGAGGGTTTGTTTTAAGAGCAGTACAGAGAGAAAACTGTATCTTTTAGGGTGTGCTCTGCACAAAGCAGCCTCCTTGCACACAGGATACTGGAGAATGAGGGGTGTATTAGGCAGTTACAACAGAGCCCTTTAAAACTGGCATGGGATACTCAGTGTTGTCCGGCTATCATTCATCACAGTCATGACTTTCAGACAAAACCAGCCTCGCCCTTGTGTTGCTTGTTAAAATAAGGAATGTATGCTCAGTGTTTCATTTTCACTCACTGCACTCCACAGCGCAGCCAAAACCAACGTGGTTTGAACCATTATTTCAAATTTATCTGGACAAATTATCTATGTATAGTATTTTTATAACGAGATGGCTTATTTTGTCTATATTCAAAGAAAAAAAAATTACTGTGCATGTCTGGAATGCAGGGAAAGAGAAGGATTTCTTACAGAGCGCATTCAGTGAGTGATTTGAAATCTGACTGCAGTCACCCACCAGCGTGTTCTCTTCCAGTTTCTCTGCTTTACTCTTTGAATTCTTCCTTCCCTCCTCCATCTTTCTTTCCCCCTTCCCCTGTATTTCCGTTTTCTATTTCTTCCTTGCTCCCCCGTTCTATTTCTCTCTTCTCTTCCTTTCCCATCTTTCCCCTGGATTTCTTTTTTCTCTCTGTTTCTTCCCTCTCCCTTTCTCCCACCCATTTCTTTCCTCCTTCCCTTGTATTTCTCTTCCCCTCTCTTCCCCCCTTGGCCCCCC